TCAAGCCAAGCAGCAAACTGCCCCCCACCCTGCACCGCGGTCCCCAGCCCCCCATCAGGTAGTCTGGCAGTCAGTCCAAGGCAGAGCCATAGTCAGAGGGACTGAACTCGGACTGCACTTCGGGGCCACTTCCAAGTTCCTGCCCACTGTGTGAGAGTGTGTGTGCCATTGTGTGTCATTGTGTCTGTGCGTCACTGTGTGTGAGTGTGTGTGTGTGTGTGTGTTGTAGGAGTATATGTGTACATGTGCGGTGTGTTTGTGTGTACATACACACACTTGTGTGGGTGTGTGAGTGCATCGTGCATAAGTGTGTTTGTGTGCTGGATAAGCATGTGTTTACCTGTGTGTGTGTGTGTGTGTGTACAAGTATGTGCGTGTTGTGTATGTGCATATGTGTGCATGGGTACATGCACGCGCATGTGCACACACGAGTGGGACTGTATCGTGGGTGGGCGTGTGTGTGGTTTGAGTATGTGAGTACTTGTGTGGGTGTGTGCCTACGTGAATGTGCCGGGTGGGGGTGGGGGGTTGTCCCGGGTGTGCCTACGGGTGGGAGTGTTTTGTGTGTGCTTACATGTGTGTGCGCAGGGCCCCTGGGCTGTGTTTTGACTGCCCTTTTCCTGTCAGCTTCCAGCTGCCCCACCAGTTCCGGGGAGGGCCCTGCCCCTTCACCACCACCACCAACCCCCCCTCATAAAGCCTCAGCCGCTGCCGCTGCCCACACAGCTGCGCAGCTCCTCCGGGACGGGGACCAGGTGGCCGGGCCAGCCGGACCATGGGCGGCCTGCGCCCCGGCGTCTTTCTGGGTGAGGACTCCGGGCAGGGGGGCCGGCGGGACCCCGGGGCTGAGGCGGGCGGGAGGCTCGCGGGCAGCTCTGGGGAAGCCGCGTGCAGGGGCGAACTGGCGGGCGGGCACATGGGGAGCGGTGCCAGCCGAGCCACCACCTCTGCAGCCTGGCGGGAAGCCCCGCTCGCTCTCACTCCCCGCTTCAGAAAGGGCTTGGAGCCAGTTTGGAGGTGAAGAAGGGACATTGAGGCGCAGGGCAAGGGGACAGGCCAGTAAATGCTGAGAATCTAGAGCCAGCTACTTTGCACATGGAGGTGTGCCGGGAAGCCGGAGCTGGGGCCCCTACACGGTGGGGTGCCCCCAGTCACCCCCCGCCACCCCCATCACACACTGCTCCGGGGACAGGGCAGCTCCACTCCTGCCCACCCCGCAGACCTGGCCACGTTTTCTCAGAGGGCAGAGGGAGTCCAGTGGGCACAGCAGCTCTGAACCTGACTATTGCGACTTCCCCAGCCTCCCTTCCCGCCCCACCCAGGGAGGTGCTCAGGGTTTGGGCAGCCCTGTTGCCTGAGCAACCCGGCAACAAAGAAAATCAAGAAATGGCTTTTGGGGCG